CTTCTTTATATGCCGTTAACGACGTAAGAATCTTAAAGATCAAGATTCCATCGACTCCGTATTTTTTTCAAATTTCGTGGTCAACAGCTCAAGAAGAATTGTTCGAAATCCTTAGGAGGAACATGCCTCTTATAGACATAGATATTTTACGACTTGTAAGTATTCATAAAAGTAAGCGAATTTCTTGTCAAAGAGCATATTACCATATATTAGGTTGGCACATAAGTTTTGCAACTTTTCCCGTAACTTTTTTCCTATTTTATGTAGCAATCTCATTTTGTGGCATCATATAGATCGTGATGTAAGCTGCAAGTCTGCGCAAACGGTTTGATTTTTGATAATGTAGTACAAAAAATCCAAGCATTTTTTGAAAACTGCTGAAAATCGAGGTTTCACGATTTTTTGGCAAACATGAAGCCTTACGAAACCTGATTCAAACATATGAAAAAGCAATTATAGGCAGCATGTAGCTGGAAGTTGGCGCATTGGAATCAGTGAAAAAGAAATGAAATTTGGACACAAATTAAGGTGGGGGCGCCTTTGAGAAGTTGAACAATTCAAATGCGTCAAGTTTTGAAGGCAATTTGTCAATAACTAAGCTGCGAAAAGTCAGAATTCGCTATAACTTTGCACTATAAAGTAATTCTATGCGGTAAACACGAATATCATATTCATTTGTCGCTAAAATGAAATTCATTTTATGATCTCACGAATGAGGCCTTTTCATGCGAAACGGATCTCATTTTTGTGATCAGCATGTCAAATAAGCCCTATAGGCCAAGTTTCAGCAAAATCTGATGCATTCTAAAACTTTTCCCATAGTACCGTGAACCTACCGTAATCCTCACATAAGATGGTAAATTTCGGCAAAAATGTGTGCATTAGAAGCTTACATCATATTCCTTATATTGCCAAAAAATGAATGCGCTACGTTCAAATAGGCAAAAGTTATAGAAAAAGTTGCATTACTTATGTGCCAACCTAATAAGTGCCATAAACTCTTTTTAATAAAATATTTGTTGATATTTGCTAGATTACTCAATTGTATGCAAGTTGCGATACACCAGATCAGAATAAGAACCCAAAAAAACACTAAAAAACGATGTATCTAGAGTTTACCACCAATTTATGGCAGCTCCAAAGTAGAGAAGCATTTGCTGTTAATCCCTGAGGATTGATCCTCATTTCCGGTTTATCCATTAGCGTGTAGTGGTGTTGAAGCGGAAAACTGTGTTTTAAATATGATGTTCTTGCACTTTGAGGACGATCTTGTTCAATAGGATGTTGAGAGGTGTGAATGCTAAAATAAGAAGTTCTGAAATTATCTATATTTTATGGTCGAAATAGAGCCGATTAACCTCTCTAATGATTTCAGTCGGCAGAAACTAGCAATATCTACAAAATTAGCTAATAAATGCAGAAACGCAAAAACTAATTTATCGACTTCAATAAACGGGACTCAAGTTCAAACAATGAGCGTTGACTATTAATTATCTTTCTCATTTTCTTGAGATTTTTTTTCGCAACGCAATCAGCATTAAGCACTTCACCTGGAAGACAAATGTTGTACTTGTAGAATTGCTGGAAATTAGAAATTTTGTCGGCAAGACTTACTTCGTTGCAAGGAAAGAAAGAGTGGCATGAAACTTAATCGAGAACCACAGGGTTGAATGTAATTAGTATAGGCAATTTTCAACAAGAATATAATTATTGTTGGTTTTAGAGTATGATCAGGATAAACAATTTTAAACGAAGAAATGTTTACATCTAAACCGTCCTGCAAATAAAAATCCAAAAGTCTTATTTTTTACCGCAATTCTTGCTATTTTCTTGAAAATTACGGTCCATGCACCTCAAAAAACCCGTATATAACAATTTGTTGTGATTTATTCAAAATCTCGGCATATATTATGGTAAATGCAGACTCCTACGAATAAAAACGAAAACATTGCATCGGCCGGGAATCGAACCCGGGCCGCCCGCGTGGCAGGCGAGCATTCTACCACTGAACCACCGATGCTTGATGGAGAATTCTCCTCAATTGCTTGCGAAGGAAAAGTTCGTAGAACCTAAGTAAACGTCATCTGCGACCAGTAAAACTCTGACGTCCTCACATTTCTTTGGATTCCCATTTATTAACCATCATTCATGCTTCATCGCAAAAACTTGCTGCCTCATCGGCTTCTTGCGCCCACCAGCTTCCATCCATAAGCGCGCCAACAAAAGAACCATTAGCTGATTGGCATGCACGACTTATTGCAAGTCTGACCATCATAACATGGCTTCATTGGGGACCTCTAACTCATCGGGAGTGACAATAAGCGAATCCACTGAAGCTGAAATAATTCTTGAGCAGATGACGATCGTCTAGCTAAAAATTCAGCCAAGATATTTTCTTAAGTTCACTTTGTGCGGGGCTCACACACATGGATTAATTATCGTTATAGCGCATGCATCTTGATTTCAATCAAAAATGACTACAGAAACGAACTGTTCCGTTATTATAGCTTTGTGTTTGCCGGTTTAGGTCAACTTGGAATTACATATACTTGCTAAAGAAATATGGAAACATCAGAAAAACTCGAAAGTTAGCGGAACTGCGGACAAATGTTGGTTAAATAACGCATTTGCTAGAATATGCTATGTTTCAACAACTGCATTTTTTTTCAAAATAAAATTATGATACAATACGCGCGAATAAAATGAGTGCGATATACGCACACTAAATTCTCTTAAGTGGTAATCTATTGATAATCATAGCGCTTTGAAAGTCGGTTATACTAATTGGAAGTAATGGTCAGTAAAAAGAACACTAAGGCCCGTATGCATGTACATCCCCGCGGGGAGGGGAAGGGATCTGATCTTGAGAGGGGAAGCGTCATATCTCGCTAGTCTACATATCTTTCTTCTCCTTTCTCTATCTTGCTTATGAAATTTCTCATACATTGATACCTGCGCACAACGGATGCCAGGTTACTGCCATACAAGATTGGTTTTTTGCCATTTCGTGTGATCTCCAGGGGATCCCCAGGGGATCAGCTCACATTTTCAAAGCCATTTATCTTTCTGAAAAATCAATGAAAACGCTGCAAAATTGTACTGAAGATATACTACGATACTGCTGAGCACGTTTTCGACAGAAGAAACGGGATCTCAAGCTTTTGAATTTTTCGATAATCCCTGGCTCGCGAGCAGCGGTTCATCGAAGATTTTGACTCTTGACATTTCACTCACTTCTACCATAAACATGTTAGTGCTGTAGTATATCCTCAGTACAATATAAGAGCATTTTCATTGACTTTTCAGGAAGATAAATGACTTTGAAATGTGAGGAGATCCTCTGGGGATCCCCAGGGGATCAGACGAAATAGTGAATATCTAATCTTGTATGGCAGTAACCTGGCATCCGTTATGCGTAAGTATCAGTGTATGAGAACCTTCAAAAGCACGACAGAGAAAGAAGAAGAAAGATATGTAGACTAGCGAGATACGACGATTCCCCTCTCAGATCCCCTCCTCTCCCCGCGGGGATGTACGTGCATAAGGGCCTGAGGGATGAAAGGCTGTTTTAACAGTGCTGGAGCTATTTTAAAATGATACAGAAAATCAAAATCTAACAGTGCCAAGTTTGTGCTAAACGAGTTTTTCTATGTAAAGTTATGATTTTCGTGAAAAATGCAAAAAAACGGCAAAAATGATTTTTTTGCACTTCAAAATCAAAGCGACAAAAATTTCGGATCAATCTGGTACCCAAGAATGACACCTGGGTATCTACATAAACCAGATTAGCAAGTGCCTTGACAGACGATTAAAGACATGCGGTTTTAACTTACACTTCCGTGCTTCTCCTTTCTGATACAAATGCTAGCTAGAAATATGAAAAACATGTCCTTTGCAAACGATTGACAGCACTGCTGTAGGTGGAAAAATTTGCGCTGTGTTCTCAACACCGGCATTTTGCAGATCTAACTCTGCAAAGCTAGTTATTTCGATGGAGTGCCCATTGCTATCTGGTAAGAAAAAAATTGTAGGAAAAATCAGCAAAGCAGCTTTTCCCGTGACTACGTCCACAAATCTAGATAATTCTTGAGATCAGCGAAAATAAAAGAGGCAAGCGCTGTAAAAATGCGTTCTTTTAGCGAAAAAGATGTTGCCAAGGACTATAAAACGAAACCAGGGTAAAAGTAGTCCTATTCAAATGCCGACTGGTCGTTTTTTTAGGGATTGACAAGAACTACGAGGCATAGAGGAGATGACACAACCAACCAGTAAGAATTCTGTCTTGTGTCACATATTACCTCAGCAAATTTATAAACTAGGAAGATTTCGGCAACTTTTCTCTAAGTAGTTGCAAAGGCAGTACCAGAAAAGTTTTTTGAGAGGAAGCTGGAAAAGATAGTCCTTTAAGAAAATTTTTGGGATGCTACTGAACTTTCGACGAGCTTTGCCCAAAGACTCTAGAGAAGGATGAAAGGAAAGCATCCATTTCTCCTAGGCTGCAACAGTTTTTTAGAATTAAGAAAAATCACAGAAATGGTCACATGCACAGGTTCACAACCCACGTAGTCGATTCGTTGACCGCACGGACTGCTCAAACTTGCGGACCATGTGCGGCGCGGCTATGGTGTAAGAGCACGACTTGTCATGGCGAATTTGTACTGGACCAGGCGTTTTACCTCGCGGCGCGTCCTCCGCAGTGATGTCCAGTCTGCGCAGTCGACGAATCGATGATAGATGTCTGTTGCAAAAAATTGTGATTGTTGGAAAAAAATTCAATCACGAAGAGCTATCCAAGCAATTGAATCTAGTTTTACCGAAGGAAACGTCACATTTCCCTAAAAGTGCGAAATGTACTTACTTTCGGAATTCGAAAAAATTTTAAGTAAAGATGTTTAATTTCTGTTATAGTTCCTCCAACATCCTGCTGAGATTGAAGATGCTTTATATTATAATCTTTATGAATAATAAGACTAAAGCAATTCAACAACTGTACAAAACTTCTACATTGCATGTCCACCCTTTCAACTAGTACAATACACAATAATCTCCAATTTACAAAATCTACGCTTGCTTCAGAAGCTAAGCTTTACCCATGATGTTGGCAGTTCATGAACGATTCTTCGTCACTCAATTTACATCCTAAACACCGCACTTTGTTGGGTATGTCCATCGTATACGAAGGTGTTGTCCAAAGGTACATATTGGTTCGTGGCTAACTTGATGACTTCCTGGGCAACAACTCCTGAAAAACTTGGTTTTCGCAGTCTGCTTCAGCGAAAGATTTCAGGCAATGCACGCCACGCAGCAGCGCGCGCATGCTTTTGAGCACAAATTTGGTAGTTCTATCCTGCGAACGCGCATGTTCAATGCGCAAGCAGTGACACAATGTATCGACAGAGAATGAAATGGCGTAGCACAAAAAATTGTGCAGGAATTGTATCCCAAAGACCTTCCATTAATTTATGATTTTCCGAAAAAAATTCGAAAGAATTTTGTATCCCTCCTAAGAAAGTGTATAAAGTTTGCTTAGCTTGCGTGCAGAAGATGGTTTGAACATAGAACTCAATGTTACCTCCGACTAAGCTGGCGACTACGTGAAGTTCTCCAGCGCCGTATCTGCAGATTTCAGCAATAGCATTTTGTGGTACACAAGCCACCACAGTTTCCGGATTAGATACCTATGTAGAGAAGAATGAAATAAGCAATTCCTGAAAACATTCGCTTCCTTGGAACCTACATGTGCAGAAGAAACTATAGAAACAACACGTTGCTTGAGATCAAGAGCATCGATAGTGCATGGAACGCCATTCGTACCAGGATACCTGTAAACACACGCATCCGACAGTATGAACTAAGTACAGGTACATGATGCATACCTTCCCTTTTCGCGACAAAACTTATCAGCCGCTCGTAACAAAAGAAACCAGACTGCAGCTGGCACCGTCTGCTCATCTTCTGTACTATTCGCAACTTCCGTTAGCAAATTCTAGAAAGCAGATTATAAAGACAAGTCGATTTGTCAAGCCCTACTGACCTGGAATGCTTCCATAGAATCTCTTTCCGTCCCACGTTGCAGTCGAATACCTCGTGCATTTTTACAAAATCGAAAGCAGAGATCTTCCGTGATATTAGCCTCGATACCTTAACAATAGAGCAAAATTGATACAATGTGCGAGAAATGAACATGTGTCATCACGTAGTAAGGAGAAACAACCTCGTTCTTGCACGATTTGTCGAGTATGTTCATAAACTTCAGCGGCATCAGCAAGCGCCTTTTCATGAAAGATCGAAGCAAGATGGGAATACCTGTGATAAAAACAGATCAGAAATAACATTTAAAAAAATTTTTTTTAAAGAAAACGCTCAAAAGACATGACTAGTGAAGAAATGTTACAATAAGTACACGTATACTGATTGGTGGTGATCGACAAACGCACAAAAACGCGAAGCAGATGTATTGAAAAGTAAGCAAAATTGAAGTGGTATACTGCAGTACTCACCTCTTACTATCACTTGTCATGTCGGGTAGTACCCCCGAAAGTGGTAGCACACCATGAGTATTGACGAAACGACGTAAGGCAGCGCATATTATCCAAAATGGTTGCGCACACTTTGACGTATTTTCGCATTTAGAATCCATGAGAATTTCCGCAACTCGACGTGGCACCTATCGAGATTTGGCAAGTGGTCATAGAAATTGAAATTTCAACTTACTTCGCTCCTCTGCAGAGATCTGGGTAGTGCCGTCTTGGCTTCTAGGAAGTTCTCAGCATCCGGCGATCCGCATTCACCCTCGCGGCGCAATCTCAATAGGACTTCCAGAAAAGCCTTCCGCTTCGCGTAAGTATCAGGGAACGCATGCTCATCTCCCACTTCCTAAAAATGTAATCCTACATCCAGTTTGAATTAGTCTCAAATCTCGTACTTACAATCCGGTAATGCTGAAGCGCAATCAGGTATAGGAGGATGTATGGAGTATGTCGCAACTCTTCCAAAGTCATAGAATTCAAGTCCGTATTTGCAGCCATTTCCAGTAGTTTTGGGAATGGCTTATCGATTCTAAATTCAGACTCAAAAGGCTCGAATATAGTCGCAATCAAAACATATACAATACCTCAAATCTGGTAGGGCATTCTCTTCATGGTTGTTCACTATGGTGTGTTCTTGAACAAAAATGCGAATATATCCTAGAAGTCCGTATGCTCTAAAGACATGACATAGATATGGAAAATGAAGAGATTCTAGATTTCATACATCAATAGGCGATTCATCGCGCGCACAGACCAGGTGATCGTTGCGGTCGCCTAAGATAATTCGTGCATGGGAGAGACAGCCGACGGCAAGAGGGATGAAAGAGCGCTCGATCAGCGAAACGCCGACAGCGTCCGTAAAACGACCCGTCTGTGCGTGCGATGAATCGCCTATGTCATTTAAGAGTGTAATAAGTATAGAAACTGATGGTGAGGTGCGATGTGTCAAAACTCTTACTTAAAAAGTAGAAAGTGCAGAATTTCCAAAACAGAATGGAGCGAAGACGACTCAGCGGAAAAGCAAGAATGCAAGCGGACACACCTATCACGTATACTAAGCTGTAGTTGAAGAAAAATGAAAAAGCCAAACAAGAATACTAAAAATGACGAAAGACATATACTGAAATGCTATATGGTGCGCGAACCTGATATTATTGACCCTGAGCAATTGAAAGTTATGCTAGTTACAGATATTAAACATTTTATATGTCGGACTAAACCATTTCTAGTGAGCTGCACCCTCTATTGAAAATAAAATCAGGTGGGCTAGATTGGGTTCCCATGAAAAGTGACAAATTAACTCCAGAGCGATTACTCGCACTAATGTTCAAAAGTGACATTAGGCAGATACGGTAAGCTGTACATCGTAATTTGCAAAAAAAGCTCAGTAGCGCAGAGTTCCAGACCCCATACCGTACGCCTACCGTAACCCACAGAGCCCAGTGCGAAATGGGTCCGTTCTTGTGCACCTAGCGTTAAAGGCAGCGTCCAGGCGGGTGTAGGCCGGAAGGCGACAAAACGCAGTTGGAGCGAGCGCATGGAGGCCACGCCCCTCATGAGCGCCTGTGACACCGAGGCGAGGTCAACCAGGTTAAGGACTGACGCTCTTTCGGCACACGCGCTGGCGCACTAATGGTAGCAGGATTCTTCAGAGTTCCTATTGATTTGCTTGTTGCCTAGAGTCAAACTACTGGTCAAATATGGGCTAAGCAGTGTACGGAGTAAATGTGTCACTTCAAACCTGTTTATCTCCTTGTTGATACTTGTCTATAAGTTTGTTAGTGCAACTTTTGGTTCCTTCAATTCAAGATTAGAAAGGTCAAGCATTACAGACCTATGAAACACGTTATTATAGCTTTGGGACAAATGAGAGAACACAATCGCAATTCACCATCCAAAAACGGGTTATAAGCAGATCAGTTTCCTCGAAAGCGCGTTCTTTTGATCTAGGAGTGCAGTTCTTCCGCGATTTTCATTCTTTTGATTCATCGAAGTCGATTTGTCACATTCAGATTCATAGATTATGCATCGTACTGAGCTCGTCATGACGGGTAATCAGGGCATGACAAAGACCGACTGTGGTTTTGTTCAAACAGACAAGATAAATCAGAACGATCATACTGTTGCAAGTCAGCTCCGTTTCGGTGGAAGAAATACAAACTCTTTTTGCAGGAAATCCAAAACTGTCTAATTACTCAACCCATTTAGCAAACCCGCATTCTGTTCATAATCAATTCTATGACCTTTCTCGTGCTTTTCTGCGCTGTTCTGTCCTACAGTTTGAACATAATCCTTTATTCTCAATGAAAAAAAGGCAGCGATGCTAACAATAAGAAAAAAAAAAGAATGGTTATTGTCATTATCACATTACAGTGTATTGCAAGCGACAGCTGAAATCAAAAAAAAAAATGAAGTGCTCGAATAATCTCAAAATCGAGGTCCCACCGCAGAATGCGTCCTTGCTCGAAGTGCTCAAATCTTCTTCTGTGTTCAGCCTGAAGAAAAGTCGTGTTGTGAAGAAGATGCAAAAGAATAATGGCTCACCTTTACTTGATATGACTGGCTTACAGTACCGTTGTTGAGTGGAATTCTACTCACATTTTATCCGTCCCCTCATCAACATGGACGAGGTCTGCACAAGAACTAATCAACATATAAAAATATGGTATACTTAACTAAACCCCTAACTTATGAAAAAATACAAAAGTAACACATCACTCAAGAACGCAGGTATCTACTAACCTTCTTAGTAGGATGATCTTCTATTGCACTATACATATTGCTGCAGCCTGAAACAAAAATTTCTACAAAAGGCAGTTTTGAAGAGCATATGCTAACAGATAGGCAAATACAAAAGAAAGCAAATCATTTACCACAGTAAGCAATAATATACATACACGAAACAAAAACACGTTCAAAGACCACGTGAGAAGAAACGATGAAGCCAGAGATTGAGAGAGCCATGCGCAATATGTGTAAAGGCGCCCCAATCCAAATATCCAGAGCATCCTAACAACGGAAAACTCGGACAGGGCGTGGCCACTAGCTGCGCCTATTCTAGGTCATTTGTCGCCTTCCGGACGTTCCCCCGTCCAGGCAGATCCGAGCTCGACGACCACGCCTTCCTCGGACGGCCAACCTCTTATGAACGAAATCTCCTCAGCTTTGACGTGTTTTCACATGACCAACACAGTCGAACTTACATCGTTTACCTGTTAATACTTGCTTTCGACAAGGATAACATCAGAAGCACTCGTCCGGGTTTTCCCAAAATAGCCCCAAGAGGTGGTTTTCTGAGAAATTCACGCTTTCTACAGTCTGCTCCAATCGGGATCAGGCCGAAACGTCGGCGTAAATCTGCGCGCTCGCAGCGCTAGCGGTCTGCGCTGCATGTGCGCGCTGTCGGAGAGAGCAAAAAGATTAAAGAGAGGGCAAAGAAGCAGGCCGTGGGCGTGACCGCGAAACCCTAGCGACGCGGTCTCCCGCCATGTCAATTTTGGCCTGGTTGGGATTGGGGCAGACTGTAGGTTCCATATTCGGAATCAGCGCCATGGAAAGGCCTGGATAACATAAAAATATAGAAGTCAAGAATCTGCCTGGACGCTGCCTTTAAGTGGGTGCTTTATTTGTCACAGCGGTGCAACAACGCGACAGCAAAGTATTAGCCCAGATTCAAGGCCCAAAACGCAAAATAGTGCACAACGTATTTGAGGACTCACCTTGCCCATAAAAATGGTACTCCACGCGGAAAGAGGAAAGACGAGATGTCAACTGCAACATTTTCTGGCAGATTTGTACCAACCACAACGTGAAATTGCAAAAGGATAGCCAAATCCTCAGCAGTTAGATTGAGTGGTGACAATAGCAGCGAGTCGCATTGCACTGACGGATTTAACTCCTAAACACTTAATTTGAACGGCATAAGATTCATGCGATTAGATTACAATACCTTCAAATATTCTATCGTAGCATCTGCTCTCGGACGTCCTATATCCGATTTCTTGAGAAAAAAATTCTGTCCAAGGTCTGGTGTTTGTACAAATGCACTGTCAACGATGCAAACCGAATGAACTCCAGCCAACACCAAGTTCTTTAGAATTTCCGTTCCTCAAATCAGATTCGTACTTAACCGAAGTTCAGCTGATTTTGGCTTACCGAGTGCAGACGAGCCTAGCACGCAGACCGATGTCCGCGCTATAGAATTTTGTCCCTCTTCTCCCCATAAGCGAAGTTGTCGATCATAGCGTACCTCATCCATCAAAATGGCAAGGTGCTCAAATTTAAAAAACGAAACGGTGAGGAAAAACCAAAAGAATTTGTTATCAATGCGCGTAACTTTTAAATACTGGTGCAGTCGCAGACGCACGTCTCAAATTACGCCTTCATGCGAAACGCCAAGAAAGGCACCCGCCATACTTGATCCGCTTAATCCACTTGATCCGCTTGATTCGCTTCGCTATTGGTCAGTTTACTGAATTGACCAATGGCGAAGCGGATCAAGCGGATCAAGTGAATTAAGCGGATCAAGTATGGCGCGTACCAAAGGGACCGGCCATACAATTTCTGGTACTGCTGCTATTCCTACAATTCCCATGATTCCTGCGGGTCCCGCAACAATGTATGTTACGAAAAAACAATGCAGCGAGAGACTGCCCATACCTGCAAATTCTGACTCAAATGCAGAATGACAGACTGACCTTAGGTGAAATTATCCTAGAGTTCACTTCACTCTCAAAATTCTCCGGATACAAGTTGAACCGACTGCCGAACGTGGTTCTACGGGCTTCCTGTGACAGGAAGTAGTCTCATATTGATCTTGATTCCAAAACCGAAACCTACGCCACTTCTGTTTGTAGAATAAGAACATGTTTGTTGCTGAACAACAACGGGATGTTTATTTTTCTTTTAAAAATCGTGTTTAAGAGACGATTCCTGCTTGCTGCATGCGAGTACTCGAGTCTGTGCTAATACGAATCCTAAAAGCTTTTCCTAAGCGTCTCGAGCAGAAATAATGTCGTTCTACCACCACCTAAAATTTTGCTTCTTCTTCAACTTTGAAAAATAGAACAAACATGGGCTTTGATACGGCCGGACTACTAATAAATAAATGTGTGGTCCAAAACTCTTAACTATAAGCCATTGTGGGACAGACTTCAGAACCTGTAAGCACCAAGAATCGCAGTCATTGACACGCATGAAAGATAGGGCTACCACCTCTTGCAGATCGATCTGCTGTTCAGTAATGATCTCAAGCACATCAAAAATGTGAGGAGTGACGGCGACGTCGAGAAGCGAAGCATCCACGTTCTTGTACGATGGAGGGGGACGATTCGCCACTTGCTGAGAAATAAGCGGGTTACTGCCATGGCTTTGGTCGGCTCTTGCAAATGGTCACATCAGTACTTGAGTCAATTTTTAGTCACTGTCCTATGTATTGTTATACAACTCTGCAGTAAAAGAGCATGATGAAAATAAAAAAAAACAGTACGGTAATGTGATTTGCCCCTAACTTAGTACGATCGCGTTCATAAACGCTACTTTCTAATTGCGCGACAAGCTATAATATAGGGTGCGGAGAACTGTCCCTCCAACTTGTTTCCTGAAATACCTCGAGCATGAAGCAAATCTGTAGTTTTTTGACCATACGCAGGCGAGATCCTTGAGAATAGATAAAGATAAGTTCGATTCAAAACTGTTTGCTTCAGTCCATTTGAACGAGTGACAACAGCGCGCAAGAACATTAACGATGCGCCGATGGCATACAGGCGCAATTTTGGACCGTAACCATACCACCAGCTTTGATATAAGGTTCAAATCAAGCTGGTATGTAGCGCATAATCTTCTCCAATATTCTATACCCACTGTAGATGAACTATGGATTGGTGATTCTTGCTTTAGCCAAATAAGGAAGATTGTATCATACGCAAATCGCAAAAATTCTCGAAAAGAGGCGAGTCAGGACTGCGCTTGCTTAACAAATTGGATCCATACTATGCATCGAAGTTCCAGATTACAACAAAAAGTAACAGAAATAATGAAAAGAGCATCCGACTTCGTCTACAGCAAGATTTTGGAGCGATAAACGATTATACTTAGTCTCTGTGCCACGTTTTTTGAACGCACTCTGCTGCGCCGCAGCCACTTCCTCGTTAGAAAAATTCACAGCTTTTCTACTAGTGCAATTGCTGACTGGCTACTTTCAGAATATTTCGGTATCCACTACCATATTCCTCAACCAGTAGAGGATTTCTCAATTTCGCGCGGCAAACAAAAAATTTTTCCAAAAATCTTCACACTTCTTCACATCTGTAATGGGGACTTGCAAGATTTGATATAAAATGGGCTGCGAAAAGGGATCCTCCGCCGGGTCCCTTTGTAGAATTTTGAGGCCAGTTTTTGTAAAATGCTAGAATATATCCATATCTTGGATATTGTGTCAAATTTACCAGAAAAATCTGTGAATTCGTCAATTTTTTTAAACTATATTTTGAGGGACAGTAATTTTCCGCACCCTGTAAATCAAACATAGTCGAGTGATTTTGATTTCCCGCTTAACCCTTTCGGACCTGCCTTTTTCCCCGTACGAGAGAAATTTTTTTCTCATTGATTTTTACTTATAACCGCATAAATAACACTTCAGTTGAATTTAGAAAGTTTTCGACCATACATTAAGAAAATACAAAGTGGCGGCATTTGCCACCAACAGGCCTTAGTGGAACGACTTCTATCACACCTCACTTATTTACAATGGAAAGTTTTGAAGCAATTTCTATGTTTTGTCAGGCAAAGATGAACGTTACATTTTTCACATTGAAGTCGTGAACGTCCACATGATTCTAGTTTACATCGTTGTTCGTTTCCATCGTCATGTATCGACTAGTGTCCGACGCTGTCTATCTGACTTCACTCAGAGGTATCGTCGTCTCCTCGGTGTATGTACGTTGGGCGAGCTTTTGCGGACATTTCAACACGTTGGTGAACTTGTTAACCCTCTACTACGAGGCATTGTTTTTTGTAATCTCTCGCTACCAATCCTGCCACGTGTGACAACAGCATATAAACGTGGCAGGTTAGAAAGTACAAAGAACCATGCTTTGAAGTAGAGGTTGACAAGTCACCAACATGTTGAAATGTCCGCAAAAGCTCCGCCCAAGGTACGCCGGGGAGACGACGATATCAATCTGGGCTTCGCGCGTTTTGTTGGAGCGGCAGTAGGTGCAATCATGATATCCGAAGGACACCGGCCTTCCTTGTTTTGGTTCATTCACGACACCAGAGATTTTTCCTTTTCTCATCTTCGTGTTCTTTTTCGTCTTCTTCAATGTCTCCGAATTCCTCGTCAACATCATCTTCGCCAATGATGCGGCCGCAGCTTCTCTCAATGTGATTTGTTGAGATATGCCAGCAGATTCTTGTCGAAGCTCGTTGGCGGTCCATCTCAATAACAAACCTTCTATTAAAGTTCCACCAAAGGCCATTGGTGGCAATTGCGTACAGCAGTTCTGAAGGTTATGGCAAAGAGTCAACACATGTGGACTCACAAACAACTGCCAACTATTTTTTGAACGACTTCATACTCAATGGTTACAATGGAAATATGAATAAAAACACAATGTTCTAGAAAAATGGCACTAACCTATCAGATTTCAAAGTCAAGCGCGATCCATGTTGCTTCGCAGACAATTGTTTCTGATACTAAGCGCAGAACGAACAAAAATGCGATTGGTGCGCAGATAGAAAACAATAGGCCATCCCAAGCTACTACAACTAGGAGTGCTAGAAACATGCTGTCGCGGCGATGCTACAGTCTTTCAAACTTAGTGGTGCCAATTGCCACCGCCAGGTCAGGTAAAGAGCGGTGGCAGCGGCTGCCTGCGCGGTATGAGGGCATTCAGAGAAAGCACGGTTGCGTAGTGCGATATCCTTTTTTAGATTTCGAACGGTTGGACACCACCCTTACCTTCCGTCCCGCGATCCGCTGCACATATTTCTCCTTCAGTTCGCCATTGAGTGCATTCTTAGTGATGACAACTGTGCCCGGTTCTACTCCAACTCCTCCAGAAGTTCCCAAGGGTATGAATCTGAACTAAGACATTCCTTTGTCCAATGCTTCGTTTGAAATCAATCATCTAACGTCCTTTGCTTTTGCATGGTACATCAATTTCAAAATTCCATTGAGCATGATACTCATTGATGAATTTCCCATGCCATGCCAAACTAGATTGGTTTTTGCAAGTGTTCAAAGTTCGTGCATTCATGCTTACATTCACTCATATCACCTTTTGATATCTGCTTTGAGTGACTCACGTCCCGGGTATCGCTTTGTTCAGAGTCTAAATTGTCGGGTGCTTACAAGGAAAGGATACTTAGTCGAAAGCACCAATCCACACGAGACATATATCACCTCAAAGCGCTTGAAACGCTGATTCCAAATCTGTAGATTTTAGCAGCGGAGCGGTTTTGTAGAAGGAGTTATGGAGGGTATTTCCCTCAGGGGATGAGGCGCCCTCCAGCAAGTCTCCCCTATCTATGAGCACTGTAGAGGAGTACGAACTGTTGGCAACTGGCCTAATGGTAAGTGACTTGCTTGACAAAGAGAGTGCCAAGATTTTAATTCTCTTCGCATGCAACTTTATCGCAAATTTTGCAAAATTGAGCTTCTAAATGGCTTTAGAGCTCTAAAGCCTGAAATCCCTGATGATATTGATGTTAAACGAAGTCAGAAGTGTTGAAAAACCAGAATAATACGAGTGTTATGATCCTATTGCAATCTTCGTTCAAATTACTTACCACTAGGCCAGTTGCCACCAGCTCGTACTCCTCTACAGTGCTCATAGATAGGGGGAAACCTGCTGGAGGGCGCCTTATCTCCAAAGGGAAATACCCTTCATAACTCCTTCTACAAAACCGCTCCGCTGCTAATCTACAGATTTGGAAACAGCGCTTTAAGGGCTTCAAGACGATATATGTCTCATTTGGATTGATGCTTTCGACTAAGTACCTCTCCTTGTTAGTGAGCTATCCTATCAAAAAATGCGTCAGGACTCACTGAAGAAATGAAATGCCTCGGTGTAAAGATCTACAAACGTCTATGCAGTGCCAAAATAGCGCTCACCTCAATAGCTGATGACCGCTTGGTTTGCAGACATAATCCACTAACCAGGCTCTAACCTCATAGTACCCAGTGACCCCCCTCTTTTTAACATCTGACACTGCGAAGGCTCTGAGATTAGATCATTACTGATAGCTATTACATACGTTCTATCTAAATTTGGAATTCT